TGAGATACTAACACATTTTTAGTTTGAGTCTTTTCATCACAAAACTACAGATTGTCACCCGTTTTACACTGTATAATGGAAAGCACTGACTCTGTCTAAACCACCCCTGATGTTTTAAGCTCCTTTAATTTGTGCCGATCGCTCCGTTATCCAGAAATCTTATCTCAGAAAATTATTGTAGTAGTTTCCACTGGAAGCAAAAGCAAGTACTGTTTATCTGTAACAAAATTAATCTGCCAGTAACGTAAGGTTGTCAGCTGTTCGACTTCTTCTCATTTTATTAGCACATTTTGCTGAATAGCTATTGCTTGTGGCTCTATTGCTTTAATAACTTCAGTGAAGAAGACCCGTAATGTCAATAAGTCAAGAGAAACTTCAGCAACATTAACTCAGTTTTGTTACTCTTTCATGCTGTCTTCAACACAACCAGTGCTTTGTTGATCCTTTCATAAATGATTAATTTTCAAGGCTCAGAGGCCCAGATGTTAATGTCTGCATTCTCCATATTAACAATCATGAGGAACAGGGAGAAAGAAAAGCCAGACATACAGTAAATGAATCTGTCTGAAAAGTGTCATAATAGTACATGCATGCATGGGTTATTGTGTGTGTGTGTGTCATCTTTTTTTCAAGCAGCGCTGTATTTGAGAGGTATACAGGCAGTAATACAAACACTGACTGCACTACTCTATTCTACCGCCTGACCCTTACATTTTTAATCAAGACACTCATCTCTCTTTCAATACACAACATCTTTGATGATGAGACGCTCTTTGATGGCAAGTGAATTTCATTTGCGTCTAAAAGCTTGCAAAGTATTCGGTTCAAGACGATCACCACATTCGTGACTTCTAGGCAATTACTGTAATGATGCAAAATGGTAAACATTGGCCCAACATCTAAATAATTTAACAGACTGAAAACATGCTGCTCCAATGTTTATGAAATCCGTTTTGTGTTTACAGAGTGATCATGTTGAAATGTTCCATGGCATTGAGCTAGCATGAGAGGTCATGTTTGAATGAACTAATTGTATGATATTTAAATGGCTCCTCTAGATTACATGCTGACTCGGGTTAGACAATAGACTCCACCTTTTTAAATGAGCCAAATGTAATGCATCTGAAAAATATTTAGAGAGTCAAACGTCCTCTTATTGGCCTGATTTCTTGGCATATGTGTGTTTCTTTGCCTGAATAAAGCTGAATAAAGTAAACTGTATCCTAAATTGTGCATATGGCTTGGGGTCTTGCTGCAGCGATGTTGTGCTCAGTTTTAATGTTAAAACAGTGCAGCCAGGCATCGAGTGTCAGGGAGCCGTGCTGAAACCGTACTCTTAGCTCAGTTTGGATATAAGTGTTTCACAGGATATGTTTATGAAGGATTTTTTAAATAAAAGTAGCAATTTTAAGTGAGTTGTTATTTTTGCATTTGCAGTGGCTTATTTACATCTTACAGTAAGCCCATAAATTTCAGTCTTTATTTATTATGCGAAAAGCTCTGTTTACACGCATAATCAGTGTTTGTTTCTTCCAATGGTTTTCCTCATTGACAGATAGTTTAACATGACACGTGCCTGCTGTAGAACTTGAGCCACCAGTGGTTAATATGTAAACTGCAGCGGAAGGGATGAAGATGCCCAAAGGAACATTGGCCCCTGATAAGTAAGCTGGACTGCTGCTTAGTCACTGGACACACAAGTGCACAATTTCAGTGACTTCCAAATACCACTGGTGGCTTGTGAAGTGCTCTGACAAAGTGGACATTGGAGATCTTCTGGGGTTTATATGACTATCACTTTTCTGTTAACTTCATTTAAGTTTGTTTTGTTGAGTTTTGGGTTCTTTTAGTTTAACACACATTGGACTGGCTGCAATTTTACTCCAACTGGCGCCAACTTGGGTGATGTTTTGATCAGCTGTTGGGTCTGGACATAATCCAACTGGTGTTACAGTCTGCAAGTTTCAGAGATTAGATTAGAATCACAAGATTTTTCAAGGTAAAATCTGTTGGTTAAAAATGAGCAGCGGGACTCAGCTTCTCCATGTGGACATCAATATTGATGAGAGAGAACCTCGTAGAGGAATCCTGAAGCTTCTGAGCAGACTCCGTCCTCACTGGAGGACACACACCATTCAAATGAAGGCAAGTGAACTTAATATCTCTAAATGTATGGCTTGTCTTGGATTGATATTTAATGAAAACATTGAAGACAAAGATTTGTACATTTCTGCATCTTTAGTAAAACCCTTGTTGGTTGGTATGCTTGCTGTTTGAAGCTTCATAAATTCTTATTGTTAAAATGATATAGAACCTTTTAGTCTGTTGGCCAAAACTGACCCTCTGAGGACAGAAAGTTGAGTCAGAGTTAGAGTGTTATCATTACCTGAAGGGAAGCTAACTCTGAGAATGGCAACAGCAAAGCCGGATTAACCTCCAAACACTGCTAAAACCAGTATGCACCGGCCATTGGAGCCTATCCCAGCTGACTTACGGTGGAGGCAGGGGACGCTCTGGAGAGGTCGCCAGTTTATTGCAGGGCAAAGGCAGGGGGAGAAGGCAGGGAACGCCAGTCTATCGCAGGTCTACACTTAGAGACAGACAACCAAGCACACTCACATTCACACCTATGGACAATTTAGAATCACCAGTTAACCTCAACATGTTTTTGGGCTGTGGGAGGAAGCCGGAGAACCGGGAGAGAACCCACGCTGCACGGGGAGAACATGCAAACTCCACGCAGAAAGATCCCAGGTGTCCTCAGCAAGAAGCGAACCGGCGACCTTTTTGCTGCGGTGCTAACCACTGAGCTACCTTGCAGCTATTACAATACAGGATAAATCCAATGACATTAAATTACAGCAAATTCATGGTCAGATTTTGCTTCCATTTGTTTCATACACTGTGTTATCCAACTTAACATCAGAAACCACCAAACTGGCAGATCAATCACGAATCAGCTCAGTGACCTGACATTAATGTCATTGCATAATGAAGATCACTTTGACATTTTAAGTCATTTGACTGTAATACAAGTTTTTGCTTATACAAATAAAATGTGTGTTGTATGTTTAGTTGAAGGAAGATATGTGAAAATATTTACCCTATGTCATGTGTGTGGCTATGGTCAGAAAAATATCAAATTGGAAAATATTGTTAGACAACACTGATAGATTCACACATGAATCAGAATTATTTTTATGATTTTTTTGGGCCTTTTTGCCTTTATTATATTGGACAGTGAAGAGAGAGACAGGAAAGTGGGGGAGAAGAATGGAGGAAAGCCTTGCAGCAAAGGGTCATGAGTGGGATTCAAACTCACCACCACTGCATTGGGGACCGTAGCCCCTGTACATGGGTCGCCAGCTCAACCAGGTGAGGTAGAGCGGCAGCCCATAAATCAGAATTATTTGAATAACAATTTCAGGGAAGATCTCAGACAATAGGACCTCCCCACAGTCCAAAGCATCAAAAACAGATGCAGCTACATTTCTGTTCTGCTGATTCATGTAGAAACTCTTGAAAGGAACTTATGGCAGTATATTCCAGGCACTGACATACTGACTCACCACAGGTCTTTTCAGGCACAGGGTGAGTGTACGTGTCTAATGGCCTGTGTGGGCTTTACTGACATCTTTCTATTCTCTTTGGTTATCTTATTGCATCTGATAATGGGATGAGATACTCCTCCATGCATGAGTGTCTGCCTCAGTTTAGACTAGTGGCATGTTTATAGAGTCATGTTCAAAAGTGACATTCAAGTCTATGAGATGCAGAAACTTGATGACAGTGAGACCATCCACAAGGCCAGTGGGTGACAGTTCTAGATGGCAAGATAACTAAGCTGACCCTGATATTTTGATTTTTTTTTTTTGTACATCACCCTATTCAAGAAATCATTATTATACTGGAAAATAATGCTCTCTCTCCTTTCCTCATCAAAACTGCATTCCTATAACCAACAACTAAACTGCATTCTCACTTTTGTTTTTACAGAAACACGTTTTCTAAAAGTATATGTTTGTGATCTATCACAAATACATTTGTAATCATCATATCTTTGCCAGTTTTTTTTTCTCCTTTAAATTACTTTAACTTTTCAGCCATCTAGTCATGTCTTGGACTGGGCATTGGTCACTGTGGTAACCCAGAAAATGGAAAAGCCTTAAAAATGTTGAGAATCAGTCAAAACCTGGTATTTTCTTGAATTAATTAGGTATTTTTGGTAATAAACCTAGCCAAAGAATGAATAAAAATGGAAGCAAACAGAGAGTTTTGAGACAGGACTGCTCTAAGCTTGTTACTGATCAATTAGTAAAATTGTTATCTCGTTAGCATAGCCCTGTTGCTATTAGGACAGTAACCTTTACTCTCACAAGAAGATGGTAGTTGGCAGTAAATTGCTGAAAAATACTATTTAACATTGTAAAAAATCAAAGACTGATTTAAAACACATTGTAGGCATGAACTCAAAGGGTCTTTAGCTGTGATCCACTGACTGGGGAAGTAAAAGGTATTGAGAGAGAGACTAGTGGACAGATGCCCTCCAAACGGAAACCCATGCAGGCGCCTGGCTGCACCTGACTGGATGAATGGTTCACTCGTAGGCTGTCGGCTCCAAGATTTCAAACCGGACCAACATGGCGGCTCGTTTGGAAACTTTCTTTTATATTGTGGAAACAGTTCAACAAAATGTGTTTCTGGAAACATCTGAGGAGAGAAATAAGCCCTGCAGCTGCTGAATCAGTGGTTAATTTAAAAGTTTTTCGGGAGTTTCCACAGGCGGTGAGTGGCGCCTGGACATCCATGATTTGCATAAAGTAACCTAGACCTCAACTTTATGCAAATGAGGAGCTGCCAATGGGACGCTGCGTTTCTAAAAACAATGTACGACTAACAGAATGTGATGCATAGCTGCTTTCATAGACAATGAAGGAGAAGCATCGGAATGAAGGATCCTGTGGACACGCACTATCACAAATAGTTGGTTTTGATCTTTTCCTTGGATTTGTTGTCAGTAGCAAAACCATAGTATATAACTAGCTTTATCCTTTAAATGTAAAGTAGTTGCATGAAATACAAAGATCTGCTAATGGAACTATGTTTGGGAGAGCAAAATATAACATTTGTGCAGACAATTACATATTTAATTGGAATATTTTTTGAGAAAAAAGCCCCCTCTTATTATATAATCTAAAAGCACAGATGGTGATATAAAGTCGGCCTCATCTTGTGTACAGCACATATTGCACTATATACTGAAGAAAGGCCCCTTCCCCTTATAAAACCAGGAGAAAAACCAAGGTAACTGGACAACAAAAGTAGACTTTTACAAAAACTCTGTCAGTGCTGTTGTTGGAGCATGTATTCAGAACAGGATAATCCCATTCTGGTCCCATGTGCAAACACAAGGTCCAATCTTTCACAGAAATAGGGTTTATGTTTGTTAGGTGACCGCGCATTGGGTGGGTGACCTCTCAATCTGCACCAGGTCCAGTAATGTACACAAAGGAGTAGATGTTTCCCCTCAGCACTCGGTTCCCAGCAGTCCCTTTAATGATGTGTTGTGATCATCATTAGTGGAAGGACAGACAGTCCCTGCTGCTACACCTGTGCCTTTAACTGGGCGAGACAGTATGTGAGAGCTGTTCTTTCAGAACTGACTTTCTGTTATGTCTTTAGTCATCATTTTTTAATTTACTATTCTTGCTTTTATTCCTTTTTGTGACACACTTTATAATCTCTATTTTATAACAAATGAATAGAATAAATTCAAGGCGAGGCAATAAATCCAATTCAATTTCAGCCATTTTCATACACTTTAAGTTTAAAGGGAATTAAAAGCAAAGAAATTATTCAAATGCTTTTAAATGATGGAAAAAATACACACACTGTATATACACTCAAATTTAGAGGCATGCTTGAAATTTAAAAAAAATACTTGCTAAAATATTTTGCCTGCTTTTAGTACTTGTAGTGAGGCAATGTAGAGAAATGCACGCATGCTGGGATCTACGTTCCTATTGTGTGTTTAGAAATAGGTTTCAGAATGCTCCAAATAGTGTTTTGTTTTCAAAAACAGTCAATTAAAAAAAACATATAAAACAAAAATGCAGCACAAAAAAGACACTAAATAAATCAGACAAAAGAAGCTTAATAACTATGTCAAAACCAACCCTCCATCTGCTGTATAAATACTTGATCAGATGTCAAGGTGGACATGTTTGTTCACTTTCCATCTAGATGAAAGACTGGGTTGTGAGCAGGTCCCTGTGGCTCACATAATGCCTTGGGGACTGTGGCAGAGAATGAGAGACTTTGAGAAACCACTGAATGACAACAAATGTCGAGGAAGCCTTTGCAGGCAAACAGTGGTGACTGTGGTGGTGTTGTTGTGTACACATACAGAGGAGAACAGTCTGTTCTGGAAGTGTGATCTTCAACATCAACCAGCTCTACTGCTCTTCCAACACACACTCGTTTAGCTGTTGTTGTATTCACTGCACAGACTACACCTGTACGCATTTGTCAGTTTATTTTTTTTTTTGCAAGACAGTTTGATTTTATATTCATTTATTTTGGGTTGGGTTTTTTGTTTTGTTTTTTGTTTGTTTTGTTTTGTTTTGTTTTGTTTTAGAGGCTACATCATTCAACAAACTGTCTGTGATTTCGTTTTCTTGCGCAGTGGTTAGCATCGTTGCCTTGATGGATGGATGGATCTTTATGACAGTTACAGTTACTTGTATTTACCTGCTACCACTGAATCCCAACTTCACACTTCACACTTCTGGTACATTGGACATATACTGTAATCCTCAGTGTTTCCTTATGTACAGTTCAGACAAAAGACTGAATGGCGCAGCTTCACTGTATACCAAGGTACCCACCTGTCAGTAAACGCGTCCACACCCTATTATAATGCACAATTTTAAGTCTTAATACAATGTAAACAGGTGAGTTATCTAAAATTCACCCCGTGTACAGTTGTCGTGATCCAGGAAATTAGCTGTAGACACCAAAACCGTTTCTGTGCGAGGCCTTAAGCATGTTTATTTTTGCTGTAATGCATGCATTTTAACATGGGATCTGTGGAGATTGACTCACTTTTGGAACCAATGTCAAGTGGACATTGAAGGAACTGCAGGTTTTGCCTTATTTTTTTAGCTCTGCATGGTGAACACAACACAAACTCTTAAACACAAGCCAGTAACATTTTGACACGGGGTCTGTCTACAAGACATGGCTAAAATAATCATGCAGGACGTATATTGGTTGATGATATACAGTGAATATACAATTAATCAAATAACCAATAACAGTAAACCTGTGACTTTGTGGGCTACTGCATAGACGTCCACCTTTGATAATCCAACCCCGAACATCATCTTGCAATATGATTTTAATCACACCATTTTCACAGAAAGTTATGCGCCTCAGTTTTTTCTGCATACACCCACACTGTTAATATTTGACTAACCCATTTATTTATGACTGTAACTAGCTCATTCCCTTCTCATTGTGTTGTCACAACATCTGAGAGGATCTTTTCATACAGTACTTGAGAAACTGTGGATTACATATGTTCTGTTAGAAAGTACACAGATATTTTCTCAAGTTTCTTTTCAAGTATACAAATCAGCAATTGCTGGTAAATCATCTCTCTGTTTCTGTAGTTTCTTATTTTTTTTTCTTTTTCTAAGTAAATGAGCCTGAACGTGGTAAATTAGTGGCCTGTAAATTGATATGGCACCAAAAGTTGCAATCCAGAGTCCTGAAACCAAAAATATGGCAGCTGTCGGCTGCCTGTTATTTATCTTCAAAAGGACCATAGTGTGATTTGTCCAAGATTGTATTTATGAAGGGTAACCCAGACTGAGGTTTCAGGAGAGCAACCCATTCAACTTTGCAAACACAGTTACAGAATAATGATACGACTGTTGCACAAACCAGAGTGCCTGAAATGGGCTATGATTTTACAGCCTGCACATTAAAAAACCAACCTTTTTTTTGTTCTTTTTACAATAGGTTGATTTGTCACAGTGTTTTCATTATTATCTGTAAAGTGTTTGCAAAAGAGCTGTATTAATTTGTGTTATGGTAAACTAAAGTGTTTCATTTGCTTTGTGCTATCTGTCAGCACTCCATGTATTTACGTCTCTTTGGGTTTCCATTCATTCCAGACATTCACAGAGGGCATCACCAACCAGTTGATTGGATGCTACGTGGGCTCTCTCCAGGATTCTGGTTGCGTTCTCGTGCGACTGTACGGCAGGATGACGGAGCTTTACGTGAACCGTGACCGGGAGGTGGAGATGTTCCAGGTCTTCCACGCCCACGGCTGTGGTCCCGAGATCTACTGCAGCTTTCAGAATGGCATCTGTTACGAGTTTGTGAGAGGAACGGTGCTGGACGATGAGCTTCTCCGGCAGCCGTCCATCTACAGGTCTCTGCCACGCCAGCTTTTTACATTTTCACTGAGCTGTCTCACCTAGAAGGTCTGAATGACTCTGATGTTATCCAGTGTAGCAATTTGGTCATAAAAGGAAAACATAGTACATAAAAGTCAACATTTTTTGAGCTTTATTTGTTGAAGAGTTACATTTGAAACAAGTTATGTTATGAGAGTCAGCTTTAGTACAAGAAATAATGATTGCTGTGATGAAGAATGAAATACAATTAGGGAACAGGCTAATAAAACCAGGTTCTTGTTTATTCAACAAGATGTACATTTTATTTGCATTGAACAATAATAACTGTTTACCTCATAGTGAAATGTAAAGAAAAGTCCAGCATTGTAGATTTTCTTATTTTCACAATGCTTCTTATTTGAAATTTCAGTTTTATTGTTAAGTAATCAGTGGTCCTGGTGCTCTTATTGTGAAACATGTTCTGGCTTTATAGTGACATCAGTGTCGTAATAAAAGTACAAAAATAGTCAAATACAGTTCAAGATGATAATTGTCGGGTATATTCCGTCCACAAACTGTAAAAATTTGAAAGTGTAAGTTCATCTTTAAAATAACTTGAGAGCCTAACCATTTGCTTCTGTTGTTTGTTTCCATTGTTGGAGGTCATGTGTTAGCAGAGCGTTTCATTTGTGCTGACGTAGGTGTTTCTTTTCATTATTTCAGTCAAGTCATGTTTCATGTTGAGCAATGTTGTTTATTCATGCCCCCTGTTTCATCCGTCATCCTCATGATAACAGGCCTGCATCATTATTCACGCCACGGGACAGTAGGACACAGCACAGCCAGCCAAGGCTGAACAGCCAGGGCCACGATAGACATCAATCAGCCTGCTCTGGCTGATACCCTCTGTGGGGAATACCCAGAAAACTTTATGTCACCGCTAAGATGCCTCGAGAACGAACACTCAAGTGGTCAGGAGGTCACAAATGCAACGAGGCCCATTTTTTGAAAAGGAGACAAAGATAAGAGCGCTAAATGGAAAGGGAGTTGTGTTTCTGCTCTGATAATGGTTGTTTGTGCAATAACAGCGTCAGCCAGACTCATCTGAGAAAATGTTTTCTCTCTGCAGATTGATCGCAGCAGAGATGGGGAGAATCCACTCGATCCAGCCAAAATGTGGTCTGCCTGTTGAACCGCTACTCTGGACAAAAATGTCCCACTTTCTCACACTGGTGCAGAGCAGCTTCAACAGCAGCCCAGCAGAGCAGCCGGGCACAAGAAGGTACAGGCCCTGATCAAATAGGTGTCTGAAAGCATGTTAAATAATATTCACACACTACAGGTGATCACAGTTGGCTCCTGAACAGTTATGCTTGAACTAGTGTGGAATAATTGATTGTGAAAGAGCACATGACATCGATCGCCTTGCTAAACCATCACCTCTTTTTATGTTTATTCACCGACCAGCCAACCAGACAGGCAATACCCAGTTTGTCAGTTTGATAATGAGAAGCAAAACTCCAGATCTTAAGTTCACTAAACACCTTACCTGGGCACTGATAGTCCAATGTTGAAGCTGTGTGAATTGGACTTAAGTAAGGGCATAATAGCAAAACTGCTGGCTCAAAGTTGCAAATATTATCATACCTGGCTATTCAGCTTAATGCTAACAGTGCTACGCTAATGTGGTCTTATTCCTAAGACCAAGACACATCATCAAATATAGTTTGACATTAGTTTGTGGGGTCAGGGTTGTTCTTAGGAATAAGCGAGCTGGCATGTTGCTTTTATTGTCATAGAGGAGGAAAAAATTGGATTACAGATGGTCTGCAATCCAATTTTCTGTCTCTACTATCCAGTGTGTGCTTTAAGTTGTTCCAATATAAAGGTCCAAATCAGGCACAGTTGTCGGCAAAAAATCCAGATGTTTGCACCTGGAATGACAGCTGTCAAAATGTGTTGTTACGACAGTGATGAACAGTAGCTTCTGTTTCAGTTAAATATTAGACAGCACATCTCTGAAGTGCTGCTGGATGAAAACCTCAGTATTTCTAAAATGCCCTTGGAAAGACATTCCATGTTTTGGCAGCAGAACGTCCAGAAATGTCCCTGTGTGAAAGTTTGTCCTGGGAAAGGCAGCTTCGAACTTAATCTTTCAGCATTGCATCATGTGTGCAGCCATCAAGGGTCTATTTAAGATACTGGTACTAGATTCTTGTTTTAAAAAGAGCCAGCTGGGGGAAATAAAGTCAGCTGGAGAAATCTAGGACAAAGTATAAAGAATTCTGATGGTCAGTCTTATGTGTGATTATAAGCTGTACAAAGTACAAGTATGGAGCGCTTGACAGGTGAAGGAGCAGCAACTAGGTGAGGTGGGACTTAATGTCAGGTGTAGGAAGGTTTCAGATCAATGTGCGAGCAGGAAAAAAGAGCTGTCAGTTATCTACTATCGTGAAAATTGTATGTTTTAAACAAATACCTGTTGGGCTGGAAGTGGGAGGCCACCTCAGTCATCTCTTTGATAGAAACCAGGCACATTTCCATATTTGTATCTCTGGGCAGCACCACAGATGCCTTATCATTTTCTCACATTTCTCAAATGTGCTCAGAGTGCTTCTGTCTACCCGCAGCAAACAGTCAGCTGTTTGGTTCTGTTTTCACATTCACCTGTGGATGGAGGCCGTGGCTGTGAGCTGTCATCAGTCAGAGGGGCGAGGCAGAGGAGGGGCCTCCGTGGCAATGACATTGCATTATCTCTGACAGGGGTTATGGGGTGAGAGGTGAGAGGGGCCTTCCAGACACTACAATGAAACAGACGCTTGGCCACGAGCTTCCTGCAAGGCTCTCCCTTATCAGTCAAACGTTCAACCTTGTTTGTGTTTGCAGAAAAGGGGTCGGAAGTCCACAAAAAGTGAAGCTGGAGGGACCTCAGTTTGAGTTTAAGCAAGTTGGCAAGGCACTTAGTAATGGAGTGAGTCATTTGTATAGGGGGAAGGCTTCTAAAGGAGACTGTCTTATGATAGGAAGTCACATTTTAGCTTCCAAGATGCAGAGAGACAAAACTCCCCAAAATATCTGGTTCATCCAATGTAATTCTAAATCTATTTGCGAGTCTTCCCACTATCTGCAGATCTTTTGTTGCTTTCTGCTGTCGTTCAGGAGGAATTCATGTGCAACAGACCAAAAATGTGTTTGCTTATTATGAGACAATATCCTATCAAGGTGGAATTACTGTGTTTTTAGCAAATATGACTCCCCTACAGTACATTGCATTAAAGCAACCTTTAATTACCTCTGGCATGCTGACGGTAATCAAATCTTTTTTTAATTTAATCTCTGTGAGTGAACATGTAGTGTGTTAGATATTCAGCCAACCATGATGCATAAATGGCTGCTCTGCCACTGACATGTAAGGCCAAGGAGGTAACGGTTTATTATTTCAGATTCACTGTTCCAGGACATTAGGGAAAAAAACTATTATCCAAGGACTTTTGGTGAACCTCTACTCTTACATTTGACTCCTTTAAAGCTTTGGTTTTACACAGAACTGTTAATATTGTGTGCATTTTTTTAAAAAATATATTAAAACTGTTTTTTTTTTTCTTCTGTTTAACACACAGTGGGACTCCAGAAATCTTCTCTGTATAGTTACATTTGGATTTAAAACTTGAGAAAAATACTGTAATATACATGCACAGAAGCTGCCTGCACCACATTTCGAGGCCCAATAGATGGTGCTATATTGTGAGACATTTGTGTGCTTTGACAGAGTCCAGTGATGCTCACGCATAGATACAGACATACAGAGCAACTCAAAATGATCTGGAAATGATCAATAATTAGAAAATAAATTATAGGAGTGTGAAGAAGCTATGTTGGAATGATGAAAAGGACACTACAGCTAAGTTTAAGGTCAGGCAGTTAGAAAATTAGATTTTCAATGTTAATTTACATTTAAAACTTGTGTCTTCGATATGTATGTCTGTTTACATAGTCACTGGCCTCCTGAGTGTGCAACTGCATGTGTGATATGACATAGAGGCAGAAACACAGAAGACCAGGAATGAAAAAAAGGGAATTTAAACAGGCATCAGAGAAACTTTTGTACTCGAGAATGTATGAGTGCTGATATGAATGTGATCTTCAGAGGAAATGGTAAAAGAAAGGAGAGCAGGAAGAGGCTGCACCTGCAGAGGAGGTCTTCAGCTCTCAAGCCACCCGCTGTGCAGAGAGAGAGAGACAGATAGACAGAAGGGGAGAGAGAGAGAGAGGGATGGGGGAGAGCGAAAGAGGCTGCAGCAGCTGCAAGGTTCGCAGAGAGAGTACACAGTAGAAGTCAGAGATGGGAGAGAAAAGAAAGAAAAGCAATGGAAAGCAAGAGTGCAACCTCTTCTTCTCCCAAAGGCCCCCTGCTACGTCTCCCCGTTTGCACTCCCACGAATAGCATAAAACTGCAAAAAGAAAAAAAAATTGAGAAGAAAAAAATCAGCAGTGCTCGGCTGGTGTTTGAAATCATATGTAAATAAGGCACATTGATAATGAAGCGCCAGAGGAGGAAATTCCACTAATTACCTTACAGAGACTTGACAGGGAGCAGGAGGCGAATGTACTTGACGCACTGTTTTTCATGAAAAGGACAGAAAAGAGAGAGGAAAAGATCTGATGGCAAGACGACAGGTTTCCATTTAAAGTCAATGGAAGTCTTTCATTTAGCTTTTGACTCAGAGTAATCGTGGCTTTCTATGATAAAGTCAGTTTGTTAGGTTAAAGGAAAGGATGGGTTGAAAAGGAATCAGGGTGATTCACCATTCAACGGCGTGTTTTAATTCATATTAGAGAGGAGACAGATAAATTATGCATGTCAGAGGGGGTCGATTTTAAATCACAAATATTACATAGACACGTAGATGTGAATCAAGCACTCCATTCTGGGCCTATATCTTATGAAAATGCGATTTAGAAATAAAATTTACAGCATTTGTACAATTTCAATTGAGAATAAAAGTAAAAGAACTCTGCTCAGATTGAAACTTAAGCAGGAAACATCTGTTTTTAAAATATTGTATATGCATGTCTACCTGCTTTTATTCAGTCTGACCTTGATCTACCAATCCACAGATAATACACAAAACTGACAAACTGTGTTGTTGAGGATGTGGAGGTGGAATTGTATAAGGCAGCAGAGCCTCTGTGTAGCAACTATAAACAAGGCTCGTCTGCTTTTGCTTTTATTGTGCGTTCCTCACAGGCCTCACTAAATTATGTCTCCAAGTGTGTATAATACCGGAGCATCTGTTTGTTCCCTTTCGAATAAATAGGTAGTGTTTAAATTACTGTTTAAAGTACCCTCTTGTTGTGGCATTCAGGACTGAAAAGGAAACACGAAAATTAATTAGGAGACGGGTGCTTGCGCAGCATTTCTTCCAGGTGCATTTTGCACTGACGTCCAAGGACATTAGTGCCTTCTTTGATAGATTGAGTAATCAACAGAGTGAAAACAAGGCATGTAACCTCTCAATGAGGCGCACAGAGCTGTGTCAGTTTACAAACATGTTCCTCAAAGAAAAAGTGTGGAGTTCATGACAAAGTTGATCTTCCATATCTGCACTCGTCTCTGCAAACTTTCTAACTTCCTCTGCCATCTGTGCCATAAAAGCCTTGTTTTTCCTTTATTTACACAAGTTAAATTCAAATTTAAATGTCCGCCCCTTTTGCTCCCCTTTCTGCCAAAAGTTCAAAAACACCATCAACCTGTGAAGATTTAGGAAGACAATTTTTTATGCTCAAATCCAGTCTAACTGTTTGAACAATCCTCTGTAGCATTTAGAGTACAGTGTACAACAGGACACGGACACTACTGAAATCCAGACAAATCAAATTCTTTCAGGGTGAACAATTCTGAAAGGCAGCTGAGTCAACCTGTTTAAGGGGAAACTGTAGGTTTTATTGAGCCTTTAAATTAACATTTGAAGAGCTGGTTAACAAAAAGCACAACAGTACCACTTTATAAAGAGAGATACTTAGAAAGTGTTTAGTCTACTTTAATTATTAAATGTGGAATTTCTTTGTCTTGTCAGTTATTAGTGTTATTCATTAAAAAGGGCCCTTGAAATGCCAGCATTTACTTCTAAAGATGATCTGACAAAATTTACTGAATGTATCTGAACAGAAATATTCAAGCCATTCATATGCATTTTTTGTTATTTTTATTTTCAACAAATTGGTTACTGGATGAAGAGTGACCCTGTCCTGTGAGTCTAAATTATTAATTAATATGATGTAAAAATCTTCTAATTAGATGGACTTTGTTTTCCTAAATGAAACACACTGAATTTGCCAGCTTTAGTGCTTCAATCTAAATGAACTAAGCGCTGGTCTTTTTGCAGCCTGGAGTGTTAACAAAACAGCTAAGTTAGGTAAGGTAATCATGAATGTGATGTACTGTTTGCACCACCTTAACTAACTCCTGGGTGTTGAACGTAGGCCTCTTATTTTCCTAAATGCTTTGTGCAGCTATGAATCAAAGGCAGCCTTCTTTCATGAAACACTCCTCAAAATGTTCGATGTTCCATCTTACCTTCTCCATCATAATAAAAAAAAAAAAGAAGTAATTTCAGTGGTTTCACCTCTTGCAGTCCTGCGGCTCTACGAGAGGTGCCCAGTTTTGAGACGCTGTCAGCGGAAATGGAGTCACTGAAGAGACACCTCTCGCAGATCGACTCGCCAACTGTCCTCTGCCACAACGACCTTCTGACAAAAAACATCATCTACAACCACAAAGAGGGTGAGGACAGCATGCTGGTTTAAACACTCAATTCAGCTGGTTTGACAGTTATTTTATGTGGACATGTAACAGATTTCCATCAACCAAAGGCAATTAAACTGAATAAAATTAAAAATAAAAGGTCACCTTATGCTAAACTTAGTTGTGGTTCTGTGAATGAAGAGCCCCAACATGTTTCTGAAACTGTTAACAAAGATAAATGTGTTTCTTTTTATCAGTCTTCACACCTTTTCTATTGATTTTGCAGAAGCAAACCTTAGCATGATTGAAAACAGATTTCCACTTGTTAAATATTTCACTTGTGGTGTCCTTTTGCTGTAATTTTTAAACATTTTTTATTCCAAATTCTACATGGGTGATTCTCAATCAAAGGAGACTTCTTGTTCCTTGTTCCAAGGTTCTGTACTCTCACTAACAGAATAAATGTCCGTGCCTAAGCAGAGTTTGTCCATGTACGCACTCCCTCTTTTCTTTTCCTCTTCCTTCAGGAATGGTGAAATTCATCGACTACGAGTACGCTGATTACAACTACCAGGCTTTCGATATCGGCAATCACTTCAACGAATTTGCTGGTAAGTCTGTGTTGTGGTGAAAAGAACTTCTATTTGCATCTGAATCTCCTTCACAGCCAGAACCCATAAGATTGCCTAATGTTGAATATGGACTGCAGGAGATGCTGTAGTTTGTGAATCATTGTCCACTGATTCTGTCATTTTGACTTTATCATTTTATCTTCCTGCAATTACGTACCATGAAACTATGTCCTTCTTGTGATGCTGCCAAGACACATATTCCGTATTCGGCCTGTATTCTTCATGGTGACAGAAGTGGAGCAGCTGTGTCACAGCAAAGCTTCACAGGGTCAGTCTGAACATTTACGGAACAATCATCAGTGAAACACTTTTAGATTCTTCAGTTGTAACCTACAAAGATTCCACAAGTCCAAATAGCAGTGACTGAAGTCATGTCTGAGAGCACTGTGCAAACTTGGTCCAGTGTCAGAAAAATTATCATTATGATGTCAAATTATTACAGCAATGAGCCTAAATCATGGACAAAAATGTTTATCTGTGGTGTCAACAAGTTTGGTCCCTGTTGTTTGGGAAAATCACTGGTCTGTTTCTCTTTAGTCAAAGAAACTAAGATGAATGGTTTCTGATGTGTGTATATCATTCAGTGGGATTTCTTACATTTTAACCTCAACAATATAAGGAATGATTATAATTCAAGTAATGTCTGAAAATTAGCTGCATTCTGCAAACTTGGTCCAACCACTAAAAATGTAGTCTCGAGCAGAACAAAAGCCTTGCACATAGTCACACTAAACTTGTAGTGACAGCATATAAATACCCCTTTATTTCGTATTTTCTTGACAGTTTCTTACCTAGAGGGCATAATATCACAAAAATGCAATGTATCATCAAAACGGAATCTATTTTCTTAAACGTTTTCTTTTATTTGCAGCGTAGTATAGTCATTTCACCAAATTACAAAATCAAAAGGTTATGCACATGCCATCCAGTTACTATTACTACTACTACTACTTACATTATGGTGCAATTTAACATACAGTAAACATTCAGAGCAGGTATTTCAAAGAAGTAGCATCACCACACAGTAAAAATGTCATTTCACTATAAGACCCACAGCAATAATCTTATAGAAGCAAAATTATGTGCATATTATCTACAAAATCAATCTAATCCTCTGATGTTGCTGGTCTTTTTTTTTTTTTTTGCTCCTGTCACATTTTTAGTCCCTGTGGGATCATTTTTCACTGCAATATAAAGTCCTGCACCTCTATGGACACAGCACAACCATGGCTAGAAGTACAGGAGGTCTTAAAAATGCCTTTTGTGCAGTATAACAAAGCTATAATGCAATATATCATAAACAAAGAAAATCTGAAAGTCGAATTTCTCATTTTATGATTGGGCAAAAATGAATCTTCCGACAACTTGCTGAATACTTGTACCTCTGTATACTGTTTTGGAGCCACGTTGCATTTATTTTATTGATCAAGAATGTTTTATTTTCCTCTCAATCTCCAATATGGTTCCCAGTATCGCCTATCTGCTCTGTGTAAACACAGCCTGCAGTTCACCTGAATGATCTCAGTATTACTAATGCTTGCTAATGGCCTCCTGGCTGTGCTGATAAGTGTTTTCTTTTCTTTCTTTTTTTTTTTTATAGGATGTAGTGGAAATGTTTAATTTTTTGGCAAATTTTTAAGTGAGATGTGATTATAATGAATATCACAATTTTTAGCTTAGATTTGGTTAATTTTCCTGACGGGACTGTGCGCCACACATGCTTAGTTCAAGGACCACTGGAAAGTTGAAAATCTGCTGCTTCCTTCTCTTTTCATAGTGTCTTGCTTTGATAAACGGTGCAATTTTTGCAATATCTAAAAAAAATGATAACATGTCTTTTTAAATCAGTTTTTGGGTTTCAGAGGGTTAAAATATCAAAATTAAACATCTTCTTGCAGAAAACATTGCCCCTGTCAGTGTTATACTATTTTAAATAATGCACTGGTATGGCTGATAACTAATTTGCATTAAACTGTTGGAGCTAATCTGCACAGAGCTAATTTAAACCATTCTATATATGAATGAGAACTTTTATCTGTAACAATGTATTATATAAGCGTGGAAAGATGTTTTCCATGTAAACTGGAGTTGTCAAGGAAATTATGTGAGGAAAAACTACAATGTTTTAGTCTGAAATGTCATGGATTAAAAGAATATTATGACAAAAAAATGGAAATATTCAAATAAATCAGTGTTCACCTGAAGGGACTGTCATATAGTTATCACGTTTCTTTCTTGTAACTTGTCCGTTTTAATAAATGTACTGTAACATATTGTTCACTGATGAGGAAAGACCAGTTTAAGTGGAATTGACAAGCGTTGACTGAAGATCTGTGTCTCCACTCAGAGTTGATGTAGTTCAGTGGCAAGACTTCAAAAGTAACACTTATTTAGGCTTTGTGTTAATATTCTCACTGACAGTAGTTCTACTATCGTATGTATGTGTGTGTGTGTATTGTGTTCAAGGTGTGAACGATGTCGACTACAGCCTCTATCCGAGCTGGGAGCTGCAGAGGGACTGGCTGACGGCCTATCTGGAGAGCTACAAGCACAGCACAGGGCATGAGGTCACTGTTACAGAGGCAGAAGTTACGCGGCTCTACATTCAGGTCTGCAAATTCTCACTCGTAAGTGTCTGCTCCCGCCGACTTTGTTGAAATGTTGAAATATGTCATTATGTAGTGCCTCAACGCTTTGGAAAGACTTTGGAAAGTGACAAATCTCTCAACAGTTATTTCCTTTTTTAAAGTTCTGCTCTGGATGGACTCAGATATCTCAATATTATGAGATTAGTGTGTGCATTTCAACAATATCCATATGTGTGCAGACCTCTGAAATGGCAGGGTGGCAACACCTCACCATCACATTTTAACAATTTACTTTTCCAGCACCTCCCCCCAAAAGAAAACCAAACCATCCACAGCTGACCCACCACTGTTCAAAGTTTGATGGACTCCATCTGAGTTGATTAGAAAGTACCGCAGGGAAAAATGAAAGACAGCAGCCAAAATTATTTTTCTTATGACCACAATTTTCATTCTTTGGTGGCTCAAGTGGTGCTGGGCTATCAGTCTAAAAGTGCTTTCATAGCTCAACACAATATGCAGAATTGTCCAACCAATTTTGGGGTGGTGTGAATGTCTCTTGAAATAGCCCAGAAATGATGAGGAAGCATATTACTTTTTAAAATAACTTGTGCCTTGGCCAAAAAACAGAGAGGGGGGAGAAATATGGCCTGGAATGGAGTGAGAGAAGCGATAACATCATGTTGATTGAAATCAGATTTTCTGTGACAAACCGAGGAGGACTCTTGACTCGAGGGAAGTGGGAGAAATTGATCACTGACGCTTAACAAGCCAAGTTTCCAGCTCAACTCAGTTTGACAAGCTGTGTGTCAAAATGAAGGATCCTGAGCCTGTTAACTGAGGAAATCACAGGGCCTATTTTTCATAATTTGAAGGAATGGAGTTGAAACTTCTCTGCTTAAAAGTATTCACAAATAGCTGCATTTTTCCAATTAAATGTGTTTAGTTAAACAACTTTAATCTTCAGTGCATTTCGTTATTTCTCATCTCTGCTTAGACCATGAAACATCAGTATTCCTTCTTGATCTGCAGTATTTAGTTGACTAATAAATCGACTGAAAAATTTTTTTTTTGGAATAACTGTGACAAGTAATTTATTGTTTAAGTAACTTCTTAAATGTGACATGTAGTGGCACAAGGTGATAGTACATAAAATGCCCTTGGGCTTTAGACAGTTTGTTTGAATAATGAAGATATTTCAAGACATCAGCTTAATTGCTGCTAAACTGTGATGATTATTTTTGATTGCTTTTTTCTTTTTACTGGTGTCTGTCGTTCAGAGAGCACACTGTTAATCAACATTATTATTAAGCCCTTATCTCTTTTATCAGAAGTAGCAAAATGAAAATAACGTCCACCAAATTTTAATCATTTATTTGCACCACGCATAGATTGTAAAATTGTTTCTCATCACATCTGGTGAGACCAGATGATATAGTTAATTATGAATAACAGGATTTGGAAAATTTCCAAAAATCCATTTTACTGTGCCTATGTTGCCTTTTAATATTTCTTTCTTTTTTTTGTCTTTTGTATTTCCTTATGTATGAACTGGAAAAAATGTCATTTTATCCTTTCATATCTCTTGGTAATTGCTTGGAATAATCAAACTGCATTGAACTCATACTATAGTGCAGTCTCAGTGGTTATAATACGGATGAATAGTGAAACTGTAAGAACTGAGGAAACCAGCCTGCACAGAAGGAAACCGTGTGGCATCGACAAAGCCTGGCCTGTTGCCAAAGCTCTGCGGCGAGAAGCTGCCTCTTTCCAATCTTAATCCCTGGCAAACTGTGCCAAGACGCAGTGGGGTCTTTACAAGTCGTCCTCTCCTCCGCAGGGATCCCCCATGAAGTCGAAGCTAAAGCCTGCGGCTCTGTGATGTCACTCCTCCCACCCATCTTTCATATCCGTTTTTCTCAATGGCTCCCTGTCACTGACGTTTTCTGCTTAGTGTTAGATTAATGCTCTCTTAATGGAGAGCAGTTATTAATCATAATGGAAACACGCTCAATCTCTCTCTGCAACTAAGGACAGAGATTAGAGATGAAAATCTGCCAGGGAGAGGGATAAAGCCAAGGGAAACCGCACATTGCTCTTCAAGTATTTCATTCCACCCTTTATTTGATTATCAAATAAAAATGTGATTATATCACTGGGCCGCAGAACAGAGGCCTGTCTGGATCTTATTAGGACTTGCTATTAGTGGCCTTACCATGAAGATTTACAATAAGGGTGGAGAACAACAGAAATTTATGGAGGCATGGAAGTCCGCAAGCCTAAGTGAGCAAAGCCATTAAGGAGGGAACCATTCAATACAGAGGTTTGTCATTCTGACTGAGCAGTGTGCAGCTGGCATGCAGCAGCAGTTAGAGGAGCAGTTACAACACGACAACTGGAGGTCACTGGAGTGTGTTTTTACAGTTCTACACTATGGCACGGGGAAATGTAGCAAAACACAGAAATGCCATAAACATAATCCACATTTTTACACTTTTATAACATTCCAGTCCTCTGGGAGTGGAACGCTCACTGGCTGTACATAGTTAATAAGCCTGTCATTCAGTTAGATGTGTCAGCACGCATTTTCCCTGATGATGTGTTCTCGAGCCAGACACTGACATTTGACCTGGCTGTGGCCTCCCTGCAGGGAGGGGGGGTCAACAAGACGTGTGCTTTTAAAATTTAAGTAGAACAAAGGGGCATGTGAGAATTTCTTTGTGGTCGCACAGTTTCGCTGTCATTCCTTTGAAGAAGCCATCAAATATCAAACTGGTCATTAATGTGCATTTAACAAATAAATTGTGAATAAGCTACTCTGACAACACACACAGAGTTTTTTGTTTTGCTTTTGTTTGTAATTTTCCTCCAGATAATCATCTAACAAGATAAGATAATGCAGTTCAACAAATGTTAGAGCAGCTCTTGTTTGTGTCTTGTTCTCCCACATAGTGTTTGACTTTAATGGTACTATTGAGGTTCCTACTTTGTAAATTTGTATGCTGTTCTCTATATTTTATATGTTTTCATATTAAAGAATGGCTGCCTGGAAAGTAGAAAAATCTGAAACACCATGACATGCTTTGAAAACTCATCAGGAGTTCCTTTGGCTAAACATGAACTGCTCATACTTTTTTCCCTTCTGTTCTACCAGGCGTCCAACTTCTTCTGGGGTCTTTGGGCCATCCTCCAATCACGCTACTCCTCGATTGACTTTGATTTCCAAAGGTTTGTGCTCCCAACGAAAGCATCTTAAAAGTCTGACATTTGAAAGTGTCACTTTGCATAAACATTGTTGTAGTTTCCTAAAGCGTTGTGGTTGAGATGTTTCATCCATCAGAAAGTAGCTGAAAATGTTAACAGTTAGACCGATGTCCTCCTGACATCAAGCGCCACCTTCACATTAACACAAACTCAAAAACTGTTTAATGAAAAAGTATGAAACTACCAAGAAAACTTTGGTGCAATTTCTTGGGACCACCTTATTACAGCACTTAACATCCTCATCCATCACTTAAATACTCACAAATGGAAAAATACATCCTGCCCAGTGAATTGAGGTGCTCAGTATTTTAGTGTAATGTTTAGACAAACAGGATCTTCATTAGGATTGCATGACAAAGAATTTGTTGGCAGAGAAATTGCAATAAAAGATTGGGAACTCGAGCCCGGAGTGTGGAAATATTTCATTTTTTTCCACCGGTGCTTCAAAACTTTGTGTACCTATAATCTGGCTAAATCAGGCAGGACAAGCACACGTCTTCCACTCTTCTTGTCACTTCTAAACACAGACAAAATATTTACACATGAAATTCTCTGCTTTTCTTCACCGTTAAACCACACATCACGATAAGATGAAAGCCCCAGCATTCACAAAGACTTTCAAAGGAAATCAAAAGTAATGTGTTTTATTTAATTTTTTTTAATTTACAATGATCCACATAAGGACTAGTCATCTTAAACAAGTCCAGGAGGCATTCCTCACCGCCATCAACTCAACAGTAAAGTTCAGGAGGGCAAAATGTTTCCCTCCTCCCCCACTCTTTCCTCCTTTCTCCTTTTTCTGCATGCCCCACACCCGCAACAGTTGTGATCGTGATCCTAATCACTATTGACATACGGCAACCTCCCCTCTGTGTGGCTTTCTCTGCCCGCTTGCTAGATCAGGGACAGGGCCCCCGCCTCATTTCGATCTGGACCTCGGAGGAAATGTGATCCAGAGGGGTGCCGAGGCACAGAGGCACTATTGTTCCCGTGCCGTCGCTCCTGCCTTACATATACGTCTCTCATCCCTGGCTGGGCCACATGCGCCTGCTAGACGTCTACTCCTCTAAGCCGGTGGCTGAGGTTGTCCTGAAGTGCATGCTGAGGGTTGGGTTACCTTTCTTTAACTGGAGGGTTAAACCGTAACTATGGAGAATCAAGTCTAACGTTTGAAAGCAGTGCTACCCTCCTAACCTCTAACCGCCTCAACACACAATACACTTGAACACACACACACACACACATACACACACACACACACACACGTATCCCAAATCCATCTTTCACAACTTTCAGGATTCTTCATTATTCATGCTGTACAGAAACGGACAATGAGGGTGGCAATGGTCAAGTTTGCTGGTTCGCTTTCATCTTTTCATTTAAATATGCTGACAGTAAGCGCACGCCACGGTCAGCAAATAACCTCACAAGACTGTCCTTGTCATTTGTTTAAATAGTATAAAGCAACCGAGATTTACATTCAGTGGCAAAGCAGTGAGTACCGTAGCTTTCTTCTGTTGTTCTGAGCAGCTAGATGGATAAAGGCTAGTTCACACCAAGAGCTAGTGACAGTGAGCTTCGGAGAGACTTTTTTCTTTATTTAATAATACTAAATGGCATGGTAATGAAAATAAAGTGCATACATTTATGGCATATAATGACTGGCAATGCAGAGAACACATAAAGAAGCTTTGGGAGCAATTGTGACTGACTATTAAAGCTGGTTAGCCTGTTAGTGGTTAGCTCGTAGGCTACTTTAGCGCACCAACAGGCTCTATGAGTAGTCAGATGTGTGGACAGGGTCGAAGTGTACAAAGCATCTCAAATAAATGATTTTAAGTAGTTCATTAAGAACAGTTTTAGCCACTAGGATGAATATTTATTCATAACAGCCAGACAGATACACACCCAAGCAACAAATTACTAAGCGCCTGTGAGAGCGGTGGCATTAAACCACACTGTAAATTTGCTGCAAAAACTGAAACAATAAACCAAAAGAGGTTGAAATGCTCCTGTAGAGCTGCAGAGTTAGGTGATAATTATCTGTGGGTTAGTAATTCGTTTGATTTTATTTAAAAAATAATGCGCTTTAACCATAATTTCGTTGACCTGCCCACAGTGTTTTTCCTCAGCTAACCAAATCTCCCTTCACTTGACAAAGAACGCTCAATGCACTGCTTGTGATAAACAAGTTCTTTTAAGGAAAGAGATAAGAAGCTGCAGTTAAACCCGGAGTGTGTGTGTGTGTGTGTGTGTGTTTCCTCCCACTGTTATCCCCCCTGAGCCAAATCTCCGCCGACTTCCCAACGAGTGACAGGCGTCGCCCAGGCCTTGTGCTTTAACCAGGGCCAGATGTAGATGTGACAATAGGGAGCCACAAGGGGAATGCAAACCCGCCCTCTTCTACCGTCCATATTTACTTTCCTTATATGATTTTATTCATGTGTTGAAAGTGTCTGCAAGTCAGCGGTTTAGATTTGTGGATGTGCTGGCAAGGCGAGCTGTTATTTGACAAAGACATTATTATGAGGAAATGAACGAGGAGGAGGCCCACTGTTTGGAAAAGCCTGACTGCAAAATTGAGGGAATTGTGCACAAAAGCACATTGTGAAACGGAATACCTGCTTTGGCGGCAGTTCATTTTCCCCTGCTTCTGCTAAATAGAACAACGTCTCAGTTTCATCTCTGATGATGATAAACGTTAAGCACGCTAGTTTTAGGTGTCGGCCTTAATAAAAATAGGGATGAATGGGATCGTCTGTGAAGCCGGCTGTTCTTTTAAATGGCGATACTCAAATATAATTATACTTATGAAGGGTGTGGGTATGATGGATAATTAGATTAACAGAACAAAATGCTATGACAAGTGATTTTTTTGTTTTTTGCAGAAGCCAACAGTGATGCTATTTTCACTTTTTATTTTGTCTAGCTGAATACCTGTTTAATGTGATTTATCAAGTGCTGTTTTGAACTGTATCTGATTGGGGTGTGGGTTAAATATCTACCAAACTGAAAACACAGCTATAGCCATCCACTCAACAAGGCACTTGATCCAAATGCTGAAGCTAAAAACATTCACAGGATTAGATTTCTGACCTGATATAAAACTAAGTGTAGCGAGAATGTGACTCCTGATGTGACACACAGAGTGAAGATGACTTCACTTCTACAAAAACCCTGAAGGCAGTGTAGGAGAGGAGAGAGGAGTTTCTTCAGTCACAAATGATCTTGAGTCAAGTACATACGCACAAACATAGCAACAGCTAAGTTTAATTTTGACCTGCCATAAGTCAAGTTACTAACAGAATTCGCTGATGTAATCTGCCGCCATCAACACCATTTTCAAAGTGTGCAAACCTTTGTGTGGACAAAAATAAGAAGCTGCTGTCTGGAATGATTTTTACAGGAGTGATATACCATTCAGTACATTAGGGATGAAGTACTTTGTCAATATGAATGCCTGAAATTTTTCTTCATGTTCAAACATTTCAGTTTTCATTCACATAAGCAGTGAAATGTTTGCACAGGGGAGCAGTGCAACACAAGTAGGCAAAGGTGGACATCACAGAATACGTACAAAAAGAAAAGGTTGAGTTTTTTTTTGTTGTTTTTTTTTTAGCAATCCATTAGCCTGAATCAGCCCTAATACCAATCTTTACGATTGGCTTGGAACATCTCTAACCTAAACTACACTACAGATTTAAACTGAAGCTTGATTTAACAAGTGCTCGGTGTATCTTTTGAGTAACAGTCAGGAGAAACTGATTTTTGGATCATCACGAAAAGATTTGCAGCTGAACAGCTGCCATATTTTTCCTTTATGGAAATTAGGAGTAAAGATTTAATTCATTGACAAGCAGGTTTCATTTTTGTCCAATCAGGATAAGGGAGGGTTCACTCCACTGTCCGAGTGAATGAGAGAACTGTCTATCACCCACTGCAGTGCACAGCTTATTTGAAATTAAGTCTGTGCAGCGAAAACGCCTGTCGAGCCTTGCCAAACCACAATGCATGAAGTGAAAATTGTCTGCTGGCCTCTGCCAGCCTAGCACCAAGGATTTCTATTTCCCCCAAATTTTTATTATTACCCATTTTCCAGTGGCAAAGGTTAGACACATACTGTACCACCTATCTCTATCAACGAGCTGCAGGTTGGGATTTTAGATCTAAAGGTCACCCTTCAGTGAAGCAACAACTACGAGAAAGAAACAATTCTAAGAAAAGCAGACAACAGAAGCCAGACTCTGACACAATAATTAGAGCGCTGTTTTACCCAAAGATGCAGGTGGGGAACAGAGTGATGGAATACAAGTAACTAAAAGGCATGTGTCTGAATTATCTTTTTGTCTCACCCAGCAATAAGAGCGAGAAAACTGATTCGGCATTGAGGACTTCAGTGAAAGCACTGATTAAAGGACAAACTCCTCTCTGTGCCTCCATTTTCTGTGCTTTTGAAACTTCACTTAATTTCAAAGGGTATAGTATAATGGCCAAGGGCAACAGCGTACTCAGACATCAGATTTATTGAGGCGTTCGATAATATGGTTTGAACAAACACAAAACCACTTTTCTCGCAGTTAAGTTCTGAAATGCGCTGAAGCTTTGGCACAGCTTTCAGACTCAGTGCTTCACTGAATAGAGACTTGATGCTATATTGTCATGCAAGTTTTGCAAACAAAAACACAGTGCCCACCTTGAACTATAAGCAGGGTGTGAAGTGTGACCTGTAGTGAACACTAAAAAACACAGTATTGTATATTAACTTCCAACTGATGATTATACATCTTGAACGTTATTTTATGGCACTTTACATCTTTTATATTATGCAGACTGAGACCCCTATCTTGAGTTCCAGCTGAGTGAATGGTCTGAAAGCTGTTAATATTTCAAAGGCCAGATAAGTCAAACAGGTCCGCAACTAACCTTAAATACAGGCTGAATATTTAATTAAAATGATTATTAATATTATATAAATCATTTTGCACATCTATTGAGACACCTGTGATTATGCACCTGAAAGCGGGCTGTTTTAAGTCATTTTCTTTATGAAAATCAATTTACACACGATGCTTAGTGTTGCTTGGCATATAATGAAAGTTTACTGTAAAAAACTGTAGTGATATTTTTTAACTGTAGTTGCAAACTGGTGAATTTGAAAAGTGTTTGCATTTTTCTCTACTATTTAGAGTCAAGTGAAAGAACGAGCTAGTTGCATTGCGGGAGTTGTAGGATGCAGCATCTTCAGAATTGGACTCAAACTAGGGACTACAAGTCAATGTAAAACAAACAAACCTTTTGACCAATGTTAAATATGCAGTTGTTGGACACAAATGATCTTAATGAACTATTCACAAGCCCACGTAAGAGCATGCTTGTGTTTTTTTACATAGTATATGATGGCAAGAGTACAATGTAGGGGACAGACTAATGCATAAAATGACAAAGATGTATGTATTAGTTTACATGTTTTAAACCCTGAGGAATCAGACTGGAAACACAAGGAAAGTTAGATGGGAAGATTTCATGCAACAAAACTAGCGTTGTATTATTATTAAATTCTTTCAAATTAATTTTGTTTGTGGATGGTGTTCAGATTTTGCATTTGCAATATTTAACAAGTGCTTTATGTTCTCTGAGCAGCAGTTTTTATTGTCTTCTTCTTTTATATCTCCCAGATATGCCATGGCACGACTCAACTACTATTTTGAGAAGAAAGAAGAATATTTTGGACTGACAATGAGCTAATAACAGGATGAAGGACCAACATTTTCTAAAAGAGTTTTTAGTGAAGTGACTGATGTGTTTCTTTATCACATCATACAATACCAGGTGATCGTTTGTGGAAGTGCGGAGGCACAGAATGAGCTTATAAAAGTGCTCCCCATTGTTTGTTATTTCAAGCTGTAGTGTGAGTTAATATGTTTTGCTATCACAGTGATTTTTAAAATATTTGTTTTACCACAGTCAGTATGCCGATAAGCCTATTTGGCAAATTGAGATGGCTCTCATGCCAGAAATGCATTAATTGTTCCCACATTCAGTTGAGTCGCATAAAGCCACAAAAACTGAGCCTGATCATAAAACCCATAAGGGGGTTATTTGCAGGCTTATTCAGTGTGTACCACAGTTCTGATGGAAAACAAGTTTTCATGTCAACTTACTTGCTATACTAAGTAATGCATCATTTTAAAGCTTTCTCTTTCCTTGGAACTTGCTGTAAAGCTGCTGTGAATATTATAGTAAATTACAAACATTTTAAAATATTGTTTCAGACTTATCAACATTTAAGTGCTTGAACAGTGTGTAAAGACAGCTTGTTAAAATAGTTTAACTCTACAGGTAGTAAAAATGCACAAAAATCTGCAATTTGTGTAAATTTATTATAAAAAGAATCTTTGTGCAGTGACTGAAAGTACTATGCTTCTAATTGACTGCACCTCAAATGCAATTGCACATCATAAAATTAATAATGATTAAGTCTGATGTGTGCTTCTTAAAAGTAATACTGACTAGTGTCAGTGCTTTCACTACTGGCTTGTACTTTTCCATTGTTAACGTCACAAGCTGGAAAAAATGGATTCCCTTAAAGTAAACTCTGTATGTATATTCAAATGTTTGCACACTTTATTTATAGTTATGCCTTTTTACACTGTATTCTACAGCTATGGAGGACACATTTCATTCTGTTGATGTGATCTCATTATTATCTGCCCCTTGGATGTGTGTTGCAGGTCATTAACTTGTCAGGGTCCCGAACATTCACTGAATCAGTGTAATAACTGCTTTAAAACTGTGATTAGTGTGTAATGAAGTAAACAACAATGTATATGTGCAAGATGCATAAAGTTTTAAAGAACTAAAAGGACATTTTAAGTGGATGTGTGTTCTATGTTCTGTTGGGCAGACATGTGTTCATCATGGAACATTTTCACTGCAGTCATTCAGCTTGTCATAACAGGAAAAGTAAAAGTGAACTTATTGTTATTTTCCAAAAATAATAGCAAACTGTTCCATTTAGATTCTGTTGAGATTGCTAGGAAGCGTGTATGCATACCTTTGCCCTATAACTCCAATGCATACATACACTGTAGCCACAATTAATATTATATTCCACCTATTATATAATGTATGTTATTATAACCTGTGCTCTTCCTGCTATAACATGTCAAAAAATATGCCATGAAAAAGCCCTAAAGGCCCAACCTCAGTGCCACTCAGTTACATGAAAAACACTACCTGACCACACCTCTGTCTTTTGGGATGAAAAACTAGAGATCATGGAATTGAAAATATACAATTCAGCGAATACGAAGCATTTACAGGCTTCAGCCTCAGCAGGCCTAAGTCAGGTGAAGGTGTTCCAGATAACGTAAAGCTCCTTGGTTAGGATCCACACCATCAGCTGGATGATGATCAGCTGATGCCGTACTGTAAATATCATATGACTTGTAGCTAAATGTGTACCATGCTCTATTTGTTACTGAAATGCAGTTAGTAATGATCCAGTCATTCGTCTTTTAAAGAAAATGGCTGTATGTTGCGATTTATGGTTCAAGATTCCAGACTCGGTGTGTCCCTGAAACAGCTCTGTTGTCAGCCTCTAACCTGATGGAAACTCACTTATCAAAGCTTTGTTATACTTGTTCATCTATTTACATTTCTGCTATCAGTGTCGTGTGTTAATGTGCAATGTAAAAGGAAAAAAATGTGTCAACTACTCCAGGCATTATAGCTCATTGCAATTTTTAGAAGTGATAGTTGGAACATGTTTTTTTAAGGTTTAAAATGTGTTGTTGACCAACATCACACAAACCATGATTTAGTAAGAAAACTTTACAGTCTACTTGGGCAAAAGAATGAAAATTTTAACGAAAACGGCTGCCAGTTCTTCCTGGGCACAATGTAAATATTATGTTTATAACACATATACAGTGTATAATGTAAAAGTATAATCTGTCGTGTATCCAAGTGCACTTAAACTGCAATTATCAGACAGAGACCATTCACATTTTTATGCTCCCAAACTATATAAGGGTCAGACAACTATAAATCATAAACATAACGATATAAAGAGACAGAAATGAGCAGTGTGATTAATAGGTTTGACACACGCCAGATTCAACTTTTTACTGTGTGATGTGTGGCTGTAAGAGCTTTTGAAATTAAAAGCTTTCTTTATTTCTCTGTTTGAAAGAGACTTGCAGTGATCAAAGGTGCTACAGTCATTTCTCATGTGGTTAATGTGGTTAATCCAACCTTGAATCAATAGATGCATACTATCATATGAAACAGAACTGAAGAACATTCCATAGCAGTAGAAAAATGACATTACAGTAATTAATCACAATTATGCACAATTTAGATTTTTAAAAAATGAATACTTTTAGGAGAAAATGAAGCAGCATGTGGATTGTGTTTCATTGCAGTGGACACCTCGCGTTACTCTAGCAAACACTTGTAGAGAGGAAGGAGGATGGATGACAAAGCCTCCAAATCTCATTAGTTCAGTTGTCTAATCCTTCAAATCATCGTCAAATTGTTAAATGTTTTACAAAACCACATTTTTTCTCAAACTTTAACCAACTGCTTTGGTTGCCTATAGCCTTGTGATGCATTTGCCACTACCACAATATTTCCAGAACCTTAACCAAGTGCTCTGAGTCGCCTAGAGTATTCATAAAGCCCTTAATTATGCTGCAGTTGCCAGGGGTGTATGCCGAAAGAAAGAACCTTTGAGACTGAAGTTGAAATTCATTCAGTGAAGTTCATTCTTGACCTTTGAATCAGCAATTGTCAAAACAGTTTCACCACAAGCCCCCGTTAACGAGTGTTGCAAAGTTTTTGATCCATCACACAATCTTCAGCAGGTTGTCATGGAATTATCATTGTTAAAAATTTCCATTTCTGTGAGTATGTAATGACAGTTCTATCACAAGACAAGAATGTTGGCATTTGGTTGAATCAGTAAAATCTCCAAAGAGAACCTTTTTATTTCATATAATGCAAATTACTGGATCCTACAATATCTGCACATTCCAAGTGCTGCATGCTTAAGGGCAGGAGAAGATTGAAATTAAGGTAAATAAAATACAGAAAAGGTATGGTTAGGGTTAGACAAGTAAAGGTGTGTTTTTATGACTCAAGTCTATTGTCTTTCATTTTATAAGCGTAACTACAGTGATTGTGTATAATGGGCTCTGAGTGTTCTAAGGCGTGGGTGACCGACAATCAGCGTGGAGACAGAAGAAGAGCTGAAGCTGCTGTGATGCTAACATTCTGCTCACGCCATGTCTCCTCTGTAGACATGATGTAAAACACTTGTTAAAGGTAGGAACAAGAGAGAGTTTATGGTTCCTGAAAAGGTGAAGCTGAATTGCAGGTAAGTGATGACATGCAAACTCCACTTTCCTGCATTGAAGGTTGATTTATACACCAACTTACAACTTAGTATAATACTTCCTGCAGTGACACTGAATGTTGGCATTGGACCAAGGTCATGAGATGCAAAATAAATTGGGCAGTATGTAGATAAATTGTGGAGATACAGAGCTATAGAGCAGAAAGCAGTAAAGGTTGAGGGGTTAAAACCCTTGACTGGTTGTAAAAGGAGGAGGTCAATGCCTTGTGATCTACAATGCTGTAACAGATTAAAGCATAAAATTGGCTTTACAACTTAAAACTGTACTGTGTTGAGATGTTACATTATACTAGCTTATTTAGCAGTGAACTCATTTAACTGTGTGCCCGTTCTGTTGTTGGCTATTCAGAGTTCAGGTTCGAACAATAAACAATACCATTGTGTCTCATCAGTGAAACAAACACATCAGACTGTGAAAATGGATGCACAGAAATGTCAGTGAGTCTGCAACACTGCATGACTGTTTTTATCTG